ATTCTTCACAGCCCAGCTCTCGTCTGTCCCGGACTGAAGGGCATCCTAAGAGCCAGAAACCTCTGTTTACGGTAAATGCACCAGTACACTAGACCTACTACAATACCAACTTCTTTGGTTACATTTCTTGCTTTGTTGTATTCCATCTAAGGCATGATTTCCCGCTTTGACGGAGTCTGTCACGACGAGACGTACAAGTGCTAAACTCGGTTTCATCGCGTTCGCTGGACAGTTTCCCTTCTTTTTCGTGTGTGGTTAGTTCACGAATCCCCTCGAAATTAAATGTCTGGATACATATTAAATTTGTTTGTTGTCTCCTCTGTAAAAATCGGGACTTACTTTGTCTACTCATAAGCCGAATTCCAGTACTTCAGCAACTGTACCTCTTCTCATCAGTTGGAAAAGTGGACGATCTAGTGGACAGTACTTGGAAGACGCCGATCGAGAGATGTCCGGCCATATATTCCGTCTCCCACTCACCTTATTTGTGTGTCCCCTTGTATTTCCATGTCAATAACAACGATTCTTCCATTCCATTTGTCACTTTGTTTACACTCACCACTCGCAAACAGAGGTTCCCACAGTGCCCTCCGGACTGCAGGACAACTGTATGCTGCTGCGCGACATCTCCTCGTTGAGCTCTCTCGAGATCTCGATAACACAGCGCGATTTCTACAGAAACGCCTGTGTTCGGCCTCGTTTCACTTATGCCACACTGATTCGTCAGGCGATTCTCGAGTCGGCTGCCAAGCAATTGTCACTGAGTGAAATCTACGCCTGGCTACAAACTGAGTTCGCCTATTTCCGCCAGAACGAGGCAACCTGGAAGGTGATTCTTTTTTACTTTCATTTTTTTGTTGGAGACAACCTTATTTCTTATACAATTGCGCGAAGAGCAGATGCGAAAGTTGATCTCACCAGAAGAGGACGACTAATTCGCATTGTACTGCAGCCGTTTGGCTTTAATACGGCATTCAAGTCGACGCAGTACACGAGACATCCTCTCTGTCTTCGGATGAAGACGAGCCTAGCTTTCGTCCATCATATGGTGGACATCATCAGAGCCGGAACTCATTCCCGTATAAGTGTCACCTTAACATTAGGTCAAGAAGAATGACATTCGAAATGAATTTTTGGAGGGACTTTCACTTCATTTGAAGATTCGAGTGGAGGGATACGTAAGTTGATCTCATCAGAAGCTGTATGCAGTGCAGGTCCTGATCTGACGATATCCGTCACAGGACGAACGAAAGTTCAACAAGGATTTATCGGGGTCGCAGGGCGGTGCGCCGAAGACCTATTCGCTCAAAACCATAGTCCTACTCCAATGCAATTTCTCTACAGTTTCCGATTAGACCAACTTACGAATCGCTTCTACTCGCCTTTTAAAACAAAATGAAAGTCTTTACAACAATCTAATCTCAGGAGATTCATCAAAATCCAGTTAATTTTCTTTTTTTTATTTATCCTTTCTACAGGATGCCATTTGTTGTAGTAGCCCTAACGACTTGCTTTGAGGCTGGGATTATGCGACCCACTCGTGCAACCCACAGCCAGCTTCATTAGGGAGGGGCATAGTGACCAGTTTTAGGCTAGCAGTCTCACTTTTTTAAAGCCTCGAAGAACGCTTTCCTCCTTGTCTGAGAATGTATCTAGTCTACGGTCCGATGCTGGAGGACACTATAAGACTGTCAGACGACGTAGTACGTTTAAAAAGGTGTGTTCTTCGAGATCTCTGTAAAACAACGGCCAAGTTAGAGAAATGAAGACAGACCCATTTTTGTTAGGTTGTATTCTA